TTTATCCGATATCTCGAACCATGTCTACTCCTATTTATCTACTTAGGAGGATCGGGTTTCGTAGGCTTCATGCCTTTTGTTTAGTGAATTCTTTTGATTGTAGGCCTTGAAGGCCTAATATGGATATATTGAAACAAATACACTGGCCGCTACAACCGTGTATTCGTTTAAAGGTTCGAACCCTGTCGACTTCTATTAGTCCGTATAGAAGGATCCGGTTCGAACTAGAATTCACTTATCGACCCGCGCAGCATTCCTAAGCGTCACGTGTGTACCAATAACACGCTCGTCGGGGCCCATGCGGGTGATTTTTATATTGATTTAGACGTACCCCATTGTGTACCTATGTGTATACAAACTATAGTGCAGGTGCAGGGGTACTTTGAAGTATTTGCAGTTGTGTAGATAACTATCTTTTGGATTTACACAACTTTTCATCTGAGAGCTTATACACGCCTTCTGTCCGCTAATACGAGTGTTGCGGATCCGGTGGCATGCGTTGTAGATTATAGACGCCTTTTGTTTGCTTTCATAAGTGTTGCGAATCCGGTGGCGTGCGTTGTAGATTGTAGACGCCTTTTATCTGCTTTATAAGTGTTGCAGATCCGGTGGCGTGCGTCTTGATGTTGACTCCCCCTTTCTCATTCTTTGGGGAGGGTCTTTCCGAAATTTGGAATCAATGATTGCTGATTTTGGAAAGAACTCCTTTTAGGATCTTCGGTGTAGTGGACTTGTCATTTCTGGTGTTTGTGGGCATCATAATTTTTTTCTTCTTAAGTATAGAACTAAGAAGAGACTTTGGAACACCAGTAAGTTTAGTTCTAATTTGTTCAAGCATTTCCTCCCTTCTGCCAAGGTGGTGTCCTTCTTTTTCGTACATCGAGTTGCCGTTGTACCCGACGTACTTGAAGATCTTGCTCACCACTATCGTAGGTGATATCCGTACTTGTGTCCACAGTGGTTCGTTGTACTTATAATACATCAACTGTTGTTATCCACAAGTATCATGTGTACATTTGCGGGGGACCGCTATATTCACTACGATTTCTTAGAAATGTTCTTAGGAGATACTTGTACTTGTGCCCACAGTGGTTCATTGTACTTACAATATACTGTTGTTATCCATAAGTGTTCGTTTGTAGGGAGTCGTTGTATCTACTACGACCTCCTGAAGATGTTTGTAAAACACCCATTGTTTCTGTGGCATATCCACTCTTTCACCAATCTCGGGTGGTTGGTGGCTCCATTTGCTGCAAGGATAAATCTTTGACTGCTGATCTCCATTATTGCCATCTCAATCAACAGGCGTTGTAGGGATTGTTCTAGCTTACAACATACTTTGTGTCACTACTGACCGTATGAATGTCCTTGTAGTTTGAGTTCCCTCGTGCGTGATTCAAACTTTGTTCCTTGTATGTGTTCTTGAAACCAAATTCAATTGCATTCAGACTTGAATTCATCAAATTTACAAGTCCTTACTTAATGTCGTATAGTCTGAGTTCGAGTACGAGTTCAGAATCTTTGGTCCATCTTAACATCATTTGATTAGGCTTAATTTAGTGTTGATGCTATGTTTGTGCCGTAGTCCTTTGAGTTCAAGTGTAGGTTCAGATTGATTTGAGTCTGATTCCAATCTGATTCCATTTTATTTGGATTTTGACCTTTAAAAAATCATTTAGAATTTTGTTCTGATTCAGGTCCCGAGTCCACCGTTCTTGTTCAAGTTCAAAGGTTCATTGCTCTTTCTCATTTGGTTCAAATCTTTTGTTCTTTTTTTTGAGTTCAAACAGGTCCAAATAGAATAATATTTCATCTGAAATTTCGCCAGCCTCCCGGCGTCTCCCCCATTTAGGGGAAAACTACGACTACGAGAAAACTTGGCCTTCCCACCACGCGCAATAAAGGCGTGCATGGTAGGTGCCCTCTTTCGAGGACACCGCGGCCGTGATTTTTCTTCCCACTACACGCAATAAAGGCGTGCATGGGGTCTTTGACGGTACCTGTTACAAGAAAAGAGCAGTTTGCTTTCCCCCCGTTCGGGGATACTTATGAATTGTTCCGGCCACGCAAAGAAGAGTGTACACCAGGCTCACCTAGCCTCGCCGTGTGCGTCAAACCGGTCTCCCTCCTACTACGTTCACTAAAGGCGTGCTTAAGTGGTTCGCCGGCTCGGCATGCATGTTGAGGCAGGAGAGCGAGGGTCGCTTACTTACCTCGTTGTAGGAGTCCCATCGGGTGCCCTCCTACCACGCTCACTAAAGGCGTGCTTAGGTGGTCTGCCGTCTCGACACGCACGTTGAAGTCGAAGGGCGAGGGAAGACGACTGTCCGCCTCGTCGTAGGCGTCGGACCGGATTCCCTCCTACCACGCTCAATAAAAAAAACAATCATAATTAATTAAAATTAATTAAAATAATTATAATGAAATATAAACTTTTTTTTGTTGTTACGGGATTTGGCCGAACAGGCGTGCGGTAGGGAGAAAGTTACCTACACAGCCGTGAGCTCCTGTTTTGCTTCCGATCTAGCGGGGAAGGGCAGTCGTCGAAGAAGCGCGCGAACGAGAGGAAAGCTAACTTTACAGTCGGCGGGCACCCGTTCTTGCGTCCGATCAAGATGACGTAGCTTCCAATCCGTTAGGAAGGGAAAGTCGTCGCTGGAGCGAAGTCGATCAACGGCGAAGGAGCCGACGTCGGATAGCTGGAGGGGAGCCGAATCGTGTGGGAGGGGAACCAGAGAAGCGACGAGCTCCGGTTATTGATCCCGACCAAAACGTCGTGACTTCCGCTCAGACAGGGAGTGTCGTCGAAGGAGAGGAGTCAAGTAGCCAGGAAGGAGACGAAGAGCAAGAGAGCGAGAGCGGGATCGGGAGAGGAGAGCTCGGGGAAGGACCGGAGAAGAGGAGCGGGAGTGTGTCGAGCTTGGTCGAGAGAGGCCGAAAGCCTCTCCTCTTTGCCTCTTTAACGACGCCAGTGTGAGATCGTGCGCGGGATGGCGGATACGACGTCGACGTGCTAGCAATATGGGAGGAAGTCGTGCGACAGCAGAGGGTAGGTGAGTGATAATTTTTTTTTTCTTTTGTTTTTTTTTGTTATGCAGCAGGTCAACAATTGTTGAACACCAGCTGATTTCTAGTATCTGGGTATCCACAATCAGCCAAACAAATGGTAAATTGGAATCAAAATTGAATTGAGCCAGCTTTGGTTGGTCCTCTTCGTGTTCTAATTTAACCAAAAAATTTTATACGTGTATAACCATATGTGAAGAAATGATATATAACATATTGTAGAGATAATACCTTTGCTTTGAGATTATTATTTATATGGTTGGTTTTCACTCCTTTCATTGTTTTTATTTGTTTAAAATGATAGAAGTCTAACTCTGATACTTTTAAGCTTTGTTTGGGATGGCTTTCTTACTGTTTTTTAAAAAATCTTTTTAGTAAGAAAATTTTATTTTTTGTACTAGAAAGCCGTTTTAAGAAGAAGCAAGAAAGCCGTCCCAAGCGAAGCTTTTTTAATGATATGGTTGACATAAGATCAGATACAAATTTTTAGTGGCTCAAGGCTAGCTATAAATTTAAACCCATCTTGGTGGCAGGAGAAATCCTATGCCCTAGAAGCCAGGAGTATATCAATTGAGCCAAGGCCTTTTTTTTTAACAACTAAAAATATTTAAATTGAATAATGTGTTGTCCTATTTCTTGTGTACTAGTATCTTTATGATGTATTAATCTATATATTTTTATTGTTTTCATATTGTATACAAGGTTGTCAAGACAAACTATAATGCAACACAAATGAGTTTTTTTCGCTCTGAAGCATGAAGCATTAGTATATAAGGTGAATGCTTCAGTTAATTGAAGCACATATATCAATGATATCATAGGAAACATTTGTATAGGTTTATATATTTTAATGATATTCAACAACCATTATATAAATCAAAATTTTTGAAATGATTTATATAACATTTTCAGTCAAATACTATCAAGAAAAGTTACTTCTAAACTCAAACTCTGAGTGAGATTTTTTGTCTACCATTAAGAAGAATCAATATGAACAATTCAATAAGAATTCTTAATTCTCTCACTTTTGCAAGACTAATATAATGTAAATTTGATAATAAATTAAGAAATCAGTTTGTCGAACAACATGAGCAAAACCAAATGAAAAGGATAAAGTAAAGATCTAAATAAAGCACGTCAAAATTCAAAGTACAAGCTAAGCTTATAAGAACTTAAATTTTAAGTCATCTGCTAAAAGTACACAAAAAAGCGACAAATCAAGAGCTTGTATTAGTTTGATCTTCTTGTAAGTCTGTGGCTGTCTCCATGTCTTGCCATGTCAGATCATGATTAATATATTCATCTTGGGTATCATCCATCATTCCAGTGAGTCACAACAGCCACTATTAAAGTTTAATTCAATTGTTTCAATGAATCCTGCTTATTGTGTATATGCTTCATGGTTTGATTGCACTTCACATAGACTAGCTTCTAAATATGATCTAGCATATTTCTACTTTTGGTATATATCTGCACTCAAGATGTGCAGACCAACATTACTCCACATCAAGTGAATTATAATTAACGAATATAATTTATGAAAAGTCGAGATGATAATGAAAGGACTTGTTAAAAGACAATCCAATTCCCCTTACATTCTAAAAAACTAAAAAATAAACTCCAAATGAAACGCTTGTTCAGCAATTTTGAAGAATTTCTCCATGCATATCACTTCAACCGAAAAACTGCATGAGGAACCACATAGAAACAAAACAAACAACAAAAGTAGTAAATCCTTGTATCATGAACATAAATCGAAATAGAAATTGAAGTTGGAAGGAGGGAATTTCTTGTGTATTCTAATTACCTGATGACATTCGTAATGGTTGAGTAATGGAATTCAGAGCTCCATGACTTGCCTAGAAATAACTCTCTTATGACATTTTTCTTGCAGCGTTGATGGATTTAGAGCTATGGTCGAGCGGCATCTGCAGGTTGAGGTCACAGGTCATAGTCGTTTTGGCCAACCTATCAAAATTTCTTCGTCCGGTTGGATGGCTCGCATATTACAGCATGAGTTTGATCATCTGGATGGGACTATATATGTGGATAAGATTGTTCCAAGGACCTTCAGGAAAGTTGAAAATCTGGATTTGCCTCTTCCAGTAGGTTGCCCAAAGCCAGGTGTCTATAATCATGGCTTGTGACCTATGAAGCTAAATTTTCTTAGGTAATTGTTTTAGAAGGTTTATAACATTAATGCTGATTCATTTGTTTCATGCTTCAAATTTTGTTTTAATTGCTTCAGAGTGTTGCAATAACTAAATTTTGCTTTGGTTTTATCTGCAATTGTAAACTGTGACGATTTTTCATTCTTTACAAGTGAATTCTTAGATTGCAAATTGTGTGGAACTTATTAAGGCTTCGTTTCGGATGACTATTTTACTGCTTCTTAAAACAACTTTTTAGTAGAAAAATTAAAATTTTTTTAACTAGAAAGCTGCTTTAAGAAGTGACAAGAAAGCCGTCCCAAACGAAGCCTAAAGATGACGTTGTTTCTGAAACATTTCGTCTGTTGTAATTTCAAAGAAAAAATATTTTGCTTTTTGTGTTTCTCCACATTTGCTTTCTGGCACTTCAGCTTATCTTTGTTTTTTCTTCTCCCCCCACACTGTTGAGATTTTTACTTTAGTAGTTTAGATCGTTGGATGCTGTGTACAAGATTAACTTAAACTACAATGTAGCTACCCTGCTGCTGCTCCTCTCTTCTTCTCTAGCATAATTGCAGAGAATTTTGCTCTTTCATTTGCTCGAAAATTCCTGCTTTCTCAACCTCTTCACATGCTCACCGTATGTCCAATATCGCCAGGTTTATCAAGTCTCGATGATCATATTGAACCATGTTAAAAAGAAAAAGAAAAAGTAGGAAAATAAGAAGGGGCTAATTTGCAGCCAAATTGACGTAAGCTGAGGATATGAGAATTTGCTATTGAGTTCAAGTAATCAAATCTATTCAACTCTTTTTTTGTTGTACTGTGCTTACGTTCTTGCTCAATGACTACTTAAAATTGTTGAGCTTATTCGTCAACTTGTCAAATTAACTTGCTCAAATTTTAAAGCTACTTGCAAGTATAAATTGAAGTTGATGGAGACTTACGGTTTGTTTGGAATAATTTTTTTGCTTTTTTAAAGTAATTTTTATAGTTTAAAATTTTCAAATTTGTACTAAGAAGTTGTTTTAATAAAGTAGTAAAGATTGTTCTATTGGGGCAATTTTTTATTATTTTCCAAAATATCTTTTTAGTATAAAAATATTTTGAGTTAGAAATTTTTATGCTAAAAGATTATTTTAGAAATTAGTAAAAAGTTATCTCAAACGAAGTCTTAGATTATATTTGGGATAATTTTCTCAATGATTTAATTTCAAATCTCGACTATAATTTATTTGGCTATTATATTTTGTTTGGATAGTATAACTGTAGAGTTGCTGTGCTGCAGCTGCATGTGAATAAAAAAATTTACCTTCATATCTTTATATATATATATATATATATATATCTAATATTTTTAAATGTATATGATAATTAATTAACAAATTTAAATCAAAATTGTATCACTTCTTAAGTTGGTACAACTTTTTTGAAATATATTAAAGCTGTCATATTTTTTTAAATATTGTTGTAAAAAATCAATTTTTAATAAAAAATTTTGTAAGCCGTACAAAAAATGAAAAAATAAAAATTATAATTATGATTTCAAAAGCTACGTAAAATCATTCTCTTCCATTAAAGTGTAACCATCCAAAGGAAACATACCGAGAAGAAGTGTTGCCTGGGCATGCGCGTTCCCGGCAAGAGAAACGCCACGGAAGCCTGTTTGGCTTAGTTTCTCCCTCCAATTCCCGAACTTGACCTCGCCGGAACGTGTCGGTCCGCCGACGGAGAACACATTGCGAATCTCTCGAAACCATCTGTGAAATCGAAGCAGCAAAAAAAAAAAAGATATTGTTCTCGGCCGCGAAGAGGGAAAAAAAGCTTCTGCGAGAGTTTGATCTAGCTGATAACTGGGGTCTCGAGCATCGTGAGAAGAGACAGAGCGAAGAAATCTGTGAAGTGGTTTTTGATATCGCGGACCTTTGCGAGGATGAAGAAGACAATAGGGGTAGTTCACACAGTAAGGGCGTTAAAGTATTTCTCATAGCTACAAACCACGGGAAGCAGCCGAAACGTGGGAGTCTTATGCCGGACGTGAGAAGCAACGACAGAAAGCAAAACTTTTGAGAACGGAGCACAATCGTGTACTCCCAAACAACCTCCCGGTTACATTTCATACAATACAGCAGGGAAAAAGCCGTCCCAAACGAAGTCATAATGATTTTCATAAAGCAACTTCAGGAAGCAACTTTCTGTACAACAATTTTACTACCTACTTTACCGACAGCAGCAGCCGTCCCAAACGCACCCTAAAAAGCTAATATGTTAGGAAGAAGTGTTTTATAATAGTTCTTTATATATATATATATAAAACAATTTTATAACTACATTTATAAAATGTTGAATTCGTCTCAAACACTCTTAATAGCCCATCAGCCCATCATGAGTTATCTATATAATAAGAATGTTAAAAGCTATTTTTATTCATTTATAGCAAAAATTAATTAAGCATTGATATATAATTTTATTTATATTACTCAAATGTAATAGTATTTGAAGTGTTATATCTTGATTCAAAATTATAAATTGGGAGTCAGAAGATGAGATTGTTATGATCATTCTAAAAATATAGTGAAAATCCAAAAAAAAAAAAAAAACTCGTCTATTTTCTTTTGTTTTTTATTCATTCTTGTTAGTAAGGTAACGTTGTTGATCATATATAAATTATGATCTAACACCCACTATCATAATATATGACTTCATAGTGATTTTTATTCAATTCGAAAACATTTTTTTGGCTTTAGAGAGGATTCATTGTATTAACAACATAACTAATGGTGGAGTTTTATCCTTATCTAATACTTATTGCAATTAAATCATCAAGATTTTGAATAAGAGAGAGATTGTAATCAATAATTTGAGGAATTTTGTTTTGATGAATTTTGACTTATATGAACCTCATAGGTAGCTAGAGAGAAGATCATTTGATCCAAAGAGTTGTCAATGTACCCAACATCATTTAAATCGGATTCATTACATCTTGTTGATCATGATGAATCAGGTTGAAGGCTAATCAATAGGTTTATAAAGATAATTTACAATCAACTAGAAGTTACCAAGGAACATAACATTTAGTTGTCGGGCTATTCAACTAGAATATGCCGCATCGCTGAAGGGTTTATTTGCTATGGTGTTTGATGACATAGACCAACTGTTTAATGAATCAACACTTTGCTTCACTGACAGAATGTGTCCTGAATAGTTACAACTATAGGGTTGCAATGTTGCTGATGATAAAGAACTACGGCGTCCACGTGACACGTTTTTAGCTTGGCGGCACTAACTTTTGGCGCCGCAGTGTTATATAAATAAAGACTGAACTTTATAAGGCTGACTCCTCCGGTAGTGCAGTGCTTCCAGATAGAGACTAGGCGCTGCAATGTCCACATTCTACCATGTCTGATGGTGACAGTGATGGCGGCGTGTGGAGGTATTGTGTCCGATGCCATGACGTTGTACTAGTACTTAAAAATTTTCTCATCTTCGATTTTTTTCTACACAAATACAACTAAAATAACATGTTTTCACTAACAAATCTAAAAGTACTAAAATATATGATAATACATCACTATTTAGAATTAGTAAAATTGAATCAGGGCTATACTACTCCTAGTTTGAAAAATGCTAATAGTTAAATTTAATCAATCATTCTTGTATTTACTTAATTTAAAATTATAGGTTATAGAATTAATGATTTAACTTTTGAATGTTGAAGTGAAAAATGTAGTTTTAATAATTAGATATATTTGTAGTAAAAATTATACTTTCATTAGTTCCCCATCCTTGGTATTATCTCTCATATTATAATTTTAATATAAGATTGTATTTCAAATCTTAAGCTTTACTTATACTAATCTTTTATTGGACTTAGTTTTTTTTTTAATATAGTTTTTATTTATTTTCTTTTTTAGAACTATTTTATATTTATTTTCTTTTTCTGGAGTACATAGTTAATGACTTTGAATTTCAGCTTCTGCTTTCAGCCTCCATACAATCTTAATAATTTTAATGTATCGACTCAATAAAATTTGACTATGATGAACACAAGTACCACTAATTAACTATAAAAATAGGAACATACTGAAGGCTGAATGCAATAGGTTTAAAAATTTCAGGATCATTTTTAACAAAATTAGCTATAATTGGCTTCTTATAATACAAATCAATCGAAAATAATAGGTTTGTCGTAATTAGATTGAAAGGTGTAACCTACTTTTCCCTCAAAACTATAAGATTGTTGATTCATCAATATCCTTGATTATCATCTTTGAAACAAATTTAATACTAGTAAATCTCATTTATTGTTAATATGGGATCTAAGAGATAATTTGATTTTAGCAAAGATGTTTCTATTCTATGAAAGTCAAGATAATTTAATTAGACAAGTTCATTATTTATCTCTTAATCCTAAACAAATCTCCAAACCATAAAATAGATAATATTATCAAATTACAAGTATAGTAAGTACATAATGAAATTATATGGTAATAATTAAAATCAAAATTGTAATTAATTCTATTTAAGAAAATCCAACATATAGATTATCGGCTAAGTTTAATTCCTAGAAGGGAAATTTAGTTCATATAAGGAGAGGGAGAACCACTTGTGCAAACATACAAAGCATGCCTCCAGCTACACGTGTTCACATCAAGGTCAATGAGAATGGTGTGCCATGTAATATACTAAAATTTATTATGCTTGGTTTATAGTTAAAAATGTAGTTAGAGATCTTGTTTTAGTACTGATATCATTATCAAATTGGTGCAATAAAGGCATGGAGCCCTTTAAGAAGAAAATGTTAGTTGAAGTAGAGCTGAGCAACATAGTAATAAGTCATATGTTAATTATTTCTATATGCTAATTTTAACCATTTATTACGCTTAGGCCAAAATTTGTAATCCCTGAGAATATACAACATTAGATATTATAATCTCTTGGTATTAAGTGACATAATTACAAAACTAGTTTGAATTCAGAGCACTAGGATAATAGACGAATAGAAGAGACTATGGAGGTTGTCTCTACAGGATTGTACCTAGTGCAATGGTGTTAGCTTGTTCATTGGTGGTCATAACTAAGGACCAGGTGAATTAGCCGGACATACAACATTATTATTTTCCTAAAAAAAATGAAACTAATATGACAATTATATTTTGTAGGAGAGGGCGACCATCAAAAATACAAAAAAAAAAAAAAGTTTTCGCATACGATGGATCGAGTAAGCTTTATAAGGAGAAAGCTAGAGATGGTATGTATTTCATTAGCTTATGTTATTATTTCTAGTAAGGAAATTCATCTTTATATTTTACCAGTCTATAAAGGATTGCCTGCTATTATAGAAAATCAATCGCATGCATAAAGATGACTCCTGATCATCTGAGGAGACCAAACTAAAATGGGTAAACTTATTTTATTTCATAAGCAGTTTGTAGAATGAGTATATTGAACTCTAAATATATTTTTGTTAATATAAGCACGTACTTGTGATATGCTTGTTGAGGAAGGACTAACTCTAAGAGATAAAAATTTAGAGGCCAATGAAAGAGTCTTCAAAGTAATCATGGGGCCTAAACGTCCCGAGAGAATACCAACACAAGGGTTGGGGTTACTCCAACCTGATATTTTTCTCAGAGCATCAACACTCCAAGTAGCAGAAAAGTGGTAGTGCATTTGCTTGAGTTATAAGACTTGATGAACAAATGCATGCACCTCAAAATAAGGTGAGACAATTCATGTAAAATTATCAGGGACATAATTTAACTTCTGGAAGCTTGACTATAACAGGAAAAATTTTAAAATAGATATTTTTATTTGTAGATTTACTTATCATATTATTTTTACTGATAATTTCTCTATTATTAACAGGAAGATAATGATCAGTTCTCACCTCATTGACGTCTATAGTGTAGAAGAAGCAGAGGGTTAGAAATATGATACTCGATTATTTTCTTATGTATGTTGATATTTTATTTTGAAATGTTATCAATATGTGAATTTTATGTTCGCCTCTAGATATTTGTATGTATGACAATATGAATTTTATTCAAAGAACTATTACAAAGTTTGATGTTAATTTTAAATTCACTATTGATTTTTATTATGAATATTGTTGCAAAGTTTTGATTGGTTGACACTGTTGTTATTACCTTTAGACATAAATATTATAGATTGATTGTTTTGACAAAAAGAAGGAATTGCTTATAATTGAAGAAATTATATTTTAATCATAATCTTTCCCTTTTGCCTCTCTAGGCATATCCACTATATTTTTTATTTGTACACCAAAATCTAAAGCTTCACAAGAGAAACTGATCAATTTTGCTGTTGAAATCAAGCATACTAAAAAAAAATACAGCATTAAAGCAATTTTAACCGCTATAATTGATCAACATTATAACTATTTTAACCATTGCAATTCTATTATTTTAGAAAATTGTAGAGATTTTAACAGTTGCAATGCTGTAATAATGCAGCTGTTAAAACCACAACAAAATAATCGTTAGAAAAAAAAAAAACTTATATCTAATTTAAACAATTCAAAATCCACCACGAAAATTACTTCCAAGTAGAAGTGTCAATATTTGACACGATATGAAAACCCGATTCGAACCCGGCCCGAAAATTTTGGGTTTGACTGGACCCAATTTCAAAACGGGTCGGGTTCAAGTTGACCTGACTGGTTGCTGGGTCAACCCGCCAGCCCGTTTAACATGTGTTGCCCGCATCTGCCCAGGCTGCCTGCGCTCCTGCCCCCGCTGCCCTTGCCCTGCCCATGCAACAATGCCAATAGCATGCCGCCCGCTCGTAGGCCGAGTCCGCCCGCACCCTCTCACCTGCCCCCGGGCTCATCGAGACAGCCTGTGCGCGCTCTCGCCTGCCCAGCTGCCCACTCAGGGGCGCACTCGGGTCCCACGCGCACACCGCGTCCAGCCCGCGCACACCTGAGTCCAGCTCACGCGCACCCGCGTCCAGCCCACACGCACCCGCGTCCACTTTTAATTAGAATTTAGATTATATTAATTTCAAAACTAATAAACCATTTTAAAATTCACCCAGATTAAAATATACCCTTTAAAATGTATTTCCTATATGTATAAAAAGAACGAGCGGCCTAGCATTTTAGCTTTGAAACAATCCATAGAAGTTTGTAAGTATAAAGTTTTTGTAAACAACTTTCTTGCTTCTAAGTTTTAATTACAACAACATGAAAAAGTTAAGTTTGGGATCTAAGTGAAAGACAACAAAAGTAAAAAGAAAAAATAAATATGGGCTTCTGCTCGCAAACTTCCCCATCGATCATGAAAGGCTTTCTCCAATGGAAGAACTCGACCCTTTTCTATTCACCGTTGTGTTCTTCAAAATCTGAAAATAAAAAATGAAGGGAATAAATAAAACAGAAGCTTAACAAAATAAAAAAGAACACACTTTGTTTATTAGAAGTACAGAGAGAGTGGGGAGGATCTATATAAGATATTTATTGATATAGAGAAAATATATGATAAAATACCAACAGAAGTGCTTTGGAGAGTTAAAAAAAAAAACATTAATAATGCTTATATTCAACTCATTAAAGATGTATACAATAATTATTACTTGTGTTCAAACAGAAGATAATTTGACAAAGTATTTTCCTATTTCAGTTGGATTACATTAAGGATTGTGGATGACGTTACTAGACATTTGCAGAAAGATGTATCTTGGTTTGTGCTTTTTGTTGATGTTATTCTTTTTGTTGGTAATACTACATAGGCGGTTGAAGGAAAACTTGATTTGTAGAGGTCGATCATTTAGTCTAAAGGTTTTCATTTGAGTAGATCTAAAACAAAATGCATGGACTGTAATTTTAATACTAACATATCTAGTGGTGAAATTGTGATATTGGGTGATGAATTCATTAAAAGAAGTCTACATTTAGATATCTCAGGTATATTGTTCAAAACGATTGTGAAATGGAAGGAGATATTATTAGTAGAATTGAAATTAGATGGTTGAAGTGAAGGAATGCAATGGGCCTATTGTGTGATAAAAAAGTAACCCTCAAACTTACGTAAAATATTTTATAAGATACTTATGAGACTTGCAATAATTTATGGCACAAAATGTTGGCCATTAAAAGAGAAGCATAAAATTAAGTGTTGCAGGAATAAAGATGCTTTGGTGTATGAGCGGCTTTATACATAAAAATAAAATGCGAAACGAGCATATATGTGAAAAGGTAAGAGTAGCTCCGATGACAGATCAGATTAGAGAGAGTCATCTTAAATGTTTAGTCATATAAAATGTTGATCTTTTGATGACCCAATTAGAAGAGTAGATTTATCATTCACAAGTATTTTCAGGCCTTGATACCATCCATAATTCGTTCCACTGAAGTCATAATATCATTTTCGTATTCTCAACCAACCAAGTCCTCGACATGATTTAGTTTTGTTCAAACCCACACTTAACACTCATATATTATAAAATTATGAAAACTCTCCGGATCTAATCTAAACACATCATCCTAACCATTCTAAATGTTTTTAAGCCCTAGAGCTCCATATTATCATCAAACCTAACCCTAATCTTTCATAAGCAAGCTCTCAAATTTGATCAAGTTTTATCTTAGGTCAACCTCTCTTGTGAAGGGTATTATCTCTATTTCTCCATGAACTCTATCGAGGCCAATAACACCTTATTACCTTTTTAAAGCATCCCATGCCCACTTCAGCCACCTGTCGAAAGCCAAACCCTAGGCTTCACCAATTTGATGCAAGTCAATCAACTATTACATGTTAATCATAGTTTACTCTCCGCTACTGATGTAGATGCTTTGTACATCAAAATCTCATTTGAAAAAATTGGTAATAAGAGTATGAAGTGTCTTGCAGTTCTTCTGGATATGAACGTAATTGAAGAGTCCTTCAACAAATAAACTGCTTCATTATCATATAGATTGACTAAGCTCAAGTTATACTGGTTAATTACTTTGTCACTTTATACGGAGCAAAATTAACATATGCAACTTGAGTGAAGATACATGCTAAAATTAGATCATAAATGGATGAAAGGTCCGGTCCATGCAAAACACAACAAAACTACTAAACTAAGGCACGATAAAAGTGATGCAACTGATCCAATTGAGTTAGACTCTATTGATGAAGTATGCGATTAGCTCATTCAGATGATGCTAGAATTATATCTTAATAATGAATTGGCAAGGCAAGAGACTGAGGGCTCCTGCCAGCTTAGGAGAAGCTCAAAGAACAGGAAGAACAATGTTTCATTATAAATCCAAAATAACATCTTCGAGCCAATTAGTCATAACAAAAGGAATTTCAACATAAAAAGGTTCAGCTATAAGTTCAACAATCATTTATGGCACAACTATATTATGAGATTGTTGATTGAATGATGACGAATTAATGATAGAACAAGATGAATAAGAAGATGAATCTAAAGGTTGTTTTATTGACTCAGATAATTAAGGCATGAATGATGACGAATTAATGATAGAACAAGGAATATGAAGATTATGAAAATGATAATAACAATCATTAAATGTCTGATTTGCACTTGTTTTTTACCTTTTTGTAAGCTTTTGCTTGATAGATGTTTAGACTTAAGATGTGAATTAAAATTTCAGTTCTTGCAGTATTTTGTACTTTAAATTATAGCTTGAATACTTTGATCTTAAAATTTTGTTTAATAGTTTGATAGTTTCTTAATTTATTAGCAATTTTGTGCTGTTTAATTCATTAATTTAATATAAAATTTTATTTATATTCTATAAAGAGTGTGAGAATTAAAAAAAAAAACCTTTTCCTCATATCAAGCTTTATAAATTTAAAACCTCTGTGCATCATATAATTGAGACCCTACTTTCCCAATAAGAGTACAAGTTGTCCTCCACAGATCCAAAGTTCTTGCGAGAACTCCAAGCTTGGAAGGAGGACAAGTTCATTTCCATTAGCATGAATGATGGTGACCTCTACCATGGAACTCAATTATGTATACCACAAGGGTTTGATCGCAGCAAGCAGATTTGAAAGGCTTCAATCTTAATAGTAGCCGGACATTTAGCCGTAGAGAAGATGTTGAATTTAAAGAGATATATAAATTGAACTAAAATGCTCTGAAAGGTGAACAGGCTCCTAAGGATCAAATGCTCAATATTTCAATGCAACACTCCAAATTTGTCTAACCAAAAGTGAAACGATACATTTCCACTTAGAACACTAAGCCAGCCTTGGAAAAGAATTGTCATAGATTTTATTGCAGGGCTAACCAAAAATAACTAAGGATTGACTAATCTATTTTTTCTTATGAAAAACTTAAGTGAGATGGAATACTTAATTCCTTAAATGAAAATCATCACAGGAGAAGAAGCTACAAATTATTCTTTAAGAGTGTTTGGAAGCACTTTAGACTGCTTAAATCCATCATCCCTGATAGAAGAAAATTAAGTTCTTAGCCAATTCTAGAGAGCACAATGCAGCATAATGGATACTAAATTGAGGAGCAGCACTACATTCCACTCATAGACAAATGGATAGGGAGTAGTGAATAAAATAATGAAGACAGAAGACCTGAACACTCTTCTATAGCCTGGCAACGTCAAATCTGAACAAAATTCTCCTTACGCTAAGACGGAGGCTACACACTTATAAAGTCATCAGACTTTTATAAAGGCTTGCCACCATGGAAAAGCCTTTTGGGAACGTAGCCAATAAGCCAATAACAACCCCTGTACACTACAAGGCCTCAAATAAGCCATTAGAGGCTGACAAGTTCAACAAAGAAAAGCTCAATCGAGGTAAACTCAATTTGTCCATAAAGCAATTTCAAGGTTGCTTGAGTATAGCCAGCTGGTTAAGCGAGCTTTAAAGTAACTAAGAAGGTTTTAGAGATCTAAGGATGATTTTTAGCAAAGAAAAGGGATTTTGGCTTGATTGATACCAAGTTACAAGAAGATTAACTCAACAACCAAGGAAGGTTAATTTTTGAATGACTTTTAGTACTATCATGATGGGTTAACTCCAGATTGAGTTCATAAAAGTAAAAATGAATTCAATTAGAGTTTAATTTGATCAATGCTAGATTGATCGAGTACTTTAGGAAAAGGTTCAGACGTTAACACATTTGGATTGAGCCTGAATCTGGTTTTAAGTTAGGTGCACTAACTCTGGCAGCCACTATGTGCAATCGGTCATGTTGATATCTGAAGGTGCTCAATTGGATCTCAAAAGAGTCATAGTTGAATCTTACCTGCATAATGTAGGTGTCCATAAACTCATAACATGTTAGACTTTATATCTGAGTTGCAATGCCAAATAAAGCTCACTTGGTTTTAATTTGGTCTACATGAGTAAATTAAATTTAGCCCTCCGTCAAATAAAAATTTGTGTGATCATACATGCAAATTTAAAGTTAGCTAGCGAAGTAAACCAATTTGAAGAAAAATGAGTGTAAAGTTTTAAGATGGTGGCGACCGGCAAGTGGCGGCGGTGGTGACCGGCGGGTGGCAGCGGATGGCAGGTGGTCTATGGATGAAAGTGGTGACTGACGGCGGGTGGCGATAGTGGCTAGAGGCAGGTGGAGGTGGCTGACGGCTGTTGGCAGCGGTCAAGCGAGCTTGCTTGCGGTGTAAACCATTTTCGCTCAAAATTGGGTGAGTTTGGTTTAACTCAAAAAAGAACTAGAATGGTTTACACTACATTTACTTTACTTTGCATTAATTTTTCATCTAACCAAAAATCAAAATTTTCAAAATCCCTGCATTTAGAATACTTTACACCCTTATGTAATCCAACCAATCAGCCTCTTAATGGTCAACATTTTGAACCGGAAATCACCGCAAGTCTCACCACCATCTTATAGAAGTTTTCTTTAAGTTTGAGGGGCACTTTTCTATCACACAATAGGCCCGATGCATTCCTCCACTTCAGCCATCCAACTGGAATTCTACTAATAATATCCCCATGTATTTCACCATTACTTTGAATAATAGACACAAGATATCTAAAACAACAACAACAACAACATCAAGCCTTGATCCCACTACGTGGGGTCGGCTACATGAATCCTTTTTTCTTCATTGTGTCCTATTAAAAGTCAAATTCTCGTTTAAATCTAATAAAGAAAGGTCATTCCTAATATTTTCTAACCAAGTCTTTTTAGGTCTACCCCTACCTTTCTAAACATAAGTCAAATCTAATACCTCTACTCTCCTAACCGGGTCATCAGAAGGCCGCCGTTTTATGTGACCAAACCATCTAAGGCGACTCTCTCTAATCTTATCTTCTACTGGAGCTACTCCAACCTTTTCACGTATATGCTCATTTCGTATCATATCTCTAAGGGTAAAGCCACTCATCCACCTA